GTTGCAATAAATTAACTTATGCATCATCCACACTACAAAATGACCCGTACAATGTACGGCTACGTCTAGAATATGATAATGCATGTCTAAAATTATTCGATAGAAAATATGTATAAATAACTAACTTTGATTATATAATGCTAGTTTATGGGTCAAACAAATATGTAGATGATATGAAAATTTTAAATGTAAAATAAGAGAAAATTTAATTTGCAAGAATGGTCACCATGACTTAAAACATGATATATATTATAATGTGAGGTATTTGGTGTGTTGGATCTCTCGAAGTTTTACAAAACAAGACAACCTTTTCTAGTGGTGTACACAAAATATCTTAAGTTTTCAAAAAGATATTTATAGACTACACATTGTTACTAGTGTTGACACCATGGCCTTCATCGTTAGATATAAGAATACTAAACTCGCTCATTGAAGTGATAACAAACAAAAGTAACTAATAATACTACAACAATAACAACAACATCCAAGCCTTATTTCAAAAAAAAATAAGATCGACTAACATTAATTGATCCATGATATCAAAGTCAAAAGGAGAAGAACGATGAGAAGAAGAAAACAAGTACAATAAAATGGATAAGATAAAGATAATTATAAAATAAGAATAGAACATAAGAAAGGTAAAAGTTAACAAAATAAAAGAGCATAATAAAGATAAAAAATAAAAAGAACATGGAAAGAAAAAGAAGATAAACGATAAAAAAGAAGGAGAGAGAAAAGAGAGAAAAGAGATAAATCGTCCACACCATTGTGTTCCCTTCACTTTGCTCTCTCTCTCTCCAAAGTCATACTCTTCCATCCAACATTCCAATCTAAGAAGAAACATATCAGTTCTGATTCCTCTAATCCAAGTTTATTTCGATATTCATCTCCCTCTCCTCTCTGCCTCTTCTCTCCATCTCTCAAATTGTCAAATTGGTGCATCACCCAGTCTTCTATGCACATGGCCAAACCACTGCAATCGAGACTCCTGCATCTTATCTTCTATAGGTGCTACTCTCACCTTTTCTCTGATTATTTCATTTCTCAATTGGTCTTTTATGGTATTTCCACACATCAAATACAACATATGCATCGCTGCCATACTCATCTTTTGAATGCGACATTGTTTCACCGCACAATCAAACCCAAAGTCCAGTGAGACAGTCTCTCCGATCCTGTCAACCCCCCATGAAGCCCAGGACCCCTTCCTTCCGTGCAGCTATGGGCTTCATGGGCATCAACCATCCCCTATAGAATCCTGCTACAACCAGCCCAACCTAGCAGAAAGAAACTCCGCTGGGGGTCAGGGTTTCAGTGGGGGTAAGTCCAAGGAGGGTGGTACCGGAAAGAAACTCCGACTAATAGCTTCCTTCACCTCTTAAGACGCAGAGAGAGCCATCGAGAGATGATGCTCTAGACCCCAAAGGTCCACCTATCTAGGTCGCGGTAGCAACCACAACTAGGCCAAATCAAGAAACAGAAAGAGATGGGACGAGCCAGGGGACATGCAAACCAACCTTGCCATCGTCAAACCAGTCATCTGGAGCTTTGAATCAAACCCAGAGGTGAACCATCGCCTTCAGCATCGCCAATGAACACCAAGCAACCCGCATTCACCCATTCACCATTGTGAGCCCCTGCCACAAAGCTCAACCCATGGATACTAGCCGTAAGATAATGTATGTTGTATACATCGGCGAGCTTCATATAACAGCTCCATCAGACAGATCTACACAATAAACAACCTGAGGACAGATTCAATAACAGTAACCTTCAAACCCAGGCCTGTGAAACCACAAAAGTGGTGACCGGCGTTCCAAAAATCAGACCGAATCAAAGAAACCGACCGAAGCCATGGGGACTCCGGCGGTGGTCGCCCAGTGCAGTGGCGGTGTCGACAACCTGTAGGGGGAGAGAGCACCTAGGGAGAGCCTAGTGAGACACACTCTCAACTCTCTCTAGAACCCCCATATCTCACATTTTTGAAAATTCAACCACTCTCTCTTAAAGTTTCATGGCGTAACTCATAAGCTTAATCCTTCGATAGTTGACACATTCTTGTACATCACTCTTATTTATAAATAGGGTAATGAGAGTACACTTCTGCCAACTCACTGACATTTTATTGTTTCTCCAAATCATGTTGAAGAAACGTGTTAGCCACTGAATGCTCTTCTCTTCCAAATTTCTCAAAGTCTTGATCAGTATGCCATTTGGGTCCACACTTTCTCCACACTCATATTTCTTAGAGCCTCTTTAACTTATGTAGTTTGGATTTTTCTCATAAAGACCCGATTTACTATACACTCTGGTATAGTAAGATCATAAATACATTGCACTTTATCCCTGTTGAACAATGTATCAATGCAAAGTAAGATAATGGAGATTAAATATCATTGTCATGCAATAACAAGCAAGATATAGACTACAATTTAAATATCAACATATAAATATTGTAGAAAGAGACTAAAGTGTATAAACATGTGTTTCACTTTATTAAACCATAAATATCAAATGTCAAAATCTTAAACATCATAACAGATCTAATATCAAATATTAACGTTCTAGAATTCAGAATTAAGAAATAAACAAAATACTATACTAAAGGATTAATAAATAAAGTGACATTTTTAAAGTTCGGGGTTTATTCGGTTTTTGTGTTCGGTTTCAATTTTCTTGCAGTTAGGTTTGTGTGATCGATATGCTAGTTAAATATGAATAAAGTAATAAAAAAATTTAATTACCAAATAATATAAAAAATGATATCTGACAAACCCAAAGGCAGGGACTCAAGATGTTTTTTATTGGTTGAAATTTTCTGGTCAGATCATGTCATGTCATATCTACTTAAGGAGATGTTTGGATCTGCTTCTTAAAACTGTTTCTGCTCCTTTAGGGAGCAGAATCAGATATTGAAGTGTTTGGCTAAAAGTGCAGAAGTACTTCTTGATGCTTTAAATGGCTCATAGGAACAATTTTTAGAAGCTAGGGGAGAACAGATTTTGAAAACCGATTCTGATTATGATTCTGCTTTAAGAAAGAAGCAAAAGAAGGATCAATTCCAAACATCCCCTAAATCTGGTGTAGTCTAGGCTGAACTGTTCTGGTCTGGTCTATTTGATTAAGTCCAATCTGGCTTGATAATCAAAAAAATAAAATAAAAAGGCTATTTCGCAAGACGCCACCGCCACTAATGTCACCCCAAACAACATACTCTATGGTCGAGTATTTAAGAGTTTTTGCCACTTTTAGTCCCTCGACTATTGTATCAGTGACACTTTTGGTACTCGACTTTTAATTTTTCCATTTTTAGTACTCGACTATAGTGCGAGAGACACTTTTGGTACCTGCCTTTAAAAATTTTCGTATTTAGTCCTTCGACTTTTGTAAAAGTGTCACTTTTGGTCCTTCAATTATTGCAATATTGACATTTTTAGTCCTCCACTTATTGTGTCAAAATCATAGTAGGACTAAAATTGTCAATTTAATAATACTCAAAGGTCTAAATGTGAGAAAATTGAAAGTCGAAGACTAAAAGTGTCTCTCGCACAATAGTCGAGGACTAAAAATGGAAAAACTAAAAGTCGAATATCAAAAATGTCACTGACACAATAGTTGGGGGACCAAAAGTGGCAAAAACTCGAGTATTTAAGGACTGGCAAATTGCAAATCCACTTCTACAAGTCCAAACCTTAACACTCAAGGTAATCATGCCATCACACGAATCACTATCAGCTATACCAAGTCAATGCTAACCCCATATCAAGTCATTATTTTGATGCTCAACGAATTAACCGTGAATTAACCGACAAGAAAACCTATTTATATTTATTTCCTAGATCAAAATGGTGTCATTGTTTCATTTTTATTTTTCAACATCCTTCCTTATACACTCTAACACTTTTCTTTACGGAATCATTTATATGGAAATTTGGCGCATTAGCCCCTGTGATTTAAAAAATGCGTCAAACTACCTCGTGTTTTAATTAATTATGCGTAAAATCACTTATATGAACAAATTCAGTTATCAAATCAAAGAAAAATGATTACCATTTTTGTATGATTTAGAGATTTTGACATATTTATTTGCATAGTCAATCAGAATATTAGGAAAAATGATTTCAAAATCATTAAATTTATTAATAAAAGAGGTTCTGTGCATGCATGATTAATTAAAACACAAGAGGGTTTGATGCATTTTTCAAATCACATGGGACTATGCTATGAATTTCTATATCACGAGGGGGTTTGGTGCATTAAACCCCTGATAAATTGTGTCAAACCCTATTGAAATTGTGTCAAACCCTATTGTATCAAACAATAGAAGCTAGAACACAAAGGAAGTACTTTTTATCTTATTTTTTTAATATTTTTTTCTACTATCCCTACCAATTAACTTTTAAATTGAGTAAAAAAAGCCTACATAATTAGGAGGAAGTAATAACTGCTAAATATATCCCATATTAATCTTTCAGTTTATTTTCATTTTCCTAAAATAATTTTAATTTTCCTTTTATGGTAAGTAATTCATGGTTCATATTATTTTTCTCTCATTTGCGCAACTATGCACCACATAATTTTCACTTTCTTAATCTACCTGCAAAATTATTTGGAAGATTAACATGTGAAGGACTAGTATTATACTTCTTCTATCTCTTATAACTTTGTCAAATTTGAATGATCCATGAGTAATAAATTTAAAACAGTAGGTTTGAGATTTTTGTAAAAGAGACAAAAATAACAGAAATTGCACATCAATAATTATTTTAAAAGAAAAAGTGACCAAATTATAAAGGATGAAGGGAATATTTATTAGAGTAATAACGAGTATATTATTATAAAAAACAAATTAGGGAATATTTATTAGAGTAATAGGGAGTATTACATAAAACCAAATAGATAAGAACACTTTAAATTAAACTAGATAAAATTAGATATCATATAAAAACCGAGATGGGAAAATGTATCTTAACGAGTGGGAAAGAACGTATCACACATAAAGCACTACCTTTTTTTTTACTATACTACGTTACTACATACAGGCAATAATAAAAGCTGTGTGGAAGACAGCACCCGTCCTTCTTAGGTGGGATTTTCATTTCACGGGCCTCTCTCTCAAGCATCGTCGTCTTCTCTGGTTCACTGATTCGATTGGCTTCTGCAATTTTTCCTCGATAATTTATTAAGACTTATCAGTAACCATGGATGCTGATTCTTGGGCCGCTCGTCTATCCTCTACTTCCAGGCGCTATCAATCTGCTTCCCAGTCTCGATCTGGTATGTATTTTTGCTCCTTTCTTTGATTTTTTGTGCAATATCTGGTCTTTTCACCTGGAGCTCTTCATTTTTCACATGCGCCTTCCTGGAAATTCAATGAACGAAAGCTTTGACCTTTTATCCCTTTTGTTTTTGGGGGGAGGGATATAATGCTTTCTGGTTTTTTATTTTATTTTATTTTTCTGTGATTTTTTATTTATTTTGAATCCTTTTGTTTATGCGTGTTGTGCTAGGGATGAGATGGGATGGTATCGATTCGGAAATGTTGATAGGTTTCGAGGAAACCGACATAGTGGAAGATGATGTCAGAGAGGAGTTTCCTTGCCCCTTTTGTTCTGAATACTACGACGTTGTTGGATTGTGCTGCCATGTTGATGATGAGCACCCTGTTGAAGCCAAGAATGGGGTATTTGTTTTTCTTGATCAATTAGATCTTTGCCTTTCTTTTTAACTTCAGAAAAGTGGGATAAGAGTATCAAATTGCTGATTCAGGTTGTTGTGAAAAGTTCTGTTTTTTAATTATCTGCTGATCTACTGGATATGTATGGTAATTGTTTAAATCGAATGTATATTTTTTCAACCATTTTCTTTCTTTTTATATACAATAAACACTGCTGTGGGCAATCATCTCATTGAGGGAGGGGTGAGGGTTACATCATGTGCATACTGCTTGCCTAAAATGATAAGGGTATGTGCAAAGCCTAAAACTTTTTTGTTTCCTTATGGTGTGTCTACTGACATTTTAGGATCCCTTTCGCACTGTAATTCCTTATGAAGCTCTTGTGTTATTAATGGCTTATGTTAACTAGAATGATTATAATTCATGAAGCAAAAGCCTTGTTTTTTGTGTTTTTTAAAACTGGTTTGTCTTTGTTAACTAAGAAGGAAGTTGATATGTCTTCTTTCCGATTATTTGTTGTTTTTTTCTTTGTTTCATCCAGGATTTATCTTCTTTATAGTATTTCATCCAGAGTTCCAGAGGTGTAGGTTTTCTGTCAGAGTTTCATGATAAATTTTCATCTTTTTCAGGTATGTCCAGTTTGTGCAACAAGGGTGGGGGTTGATATGGTTGCACACGTTGTATTGCAACACGGGAACATCTTCAAGATATCCTTTTATAGCCTGCCATGATAAAATAATCCTTTAATTTCTCTTTGCTCTAGCTATTTTCCGTTTCCTTTTGATCACCGTTTCTATAGTCATTATTATAAAAATAAAATGGGTGTGGTGGGAAGCTACTCACTAATTATCTTATGATAAATTGCCACAATTTGAAGATCACGTTGCGAGACACTGAGACATTTTAGTCTGCAGGGTGAACTGGTGTATTTAATTTGTGTAATTACTTGTCTCAAATTTGGAGTACAGAGTATATTTTTAGACATGTTTTTAATAAAATGTGCCCCTATAGTTAAGCTACGTTGTGTGGCTGTTAGCTAATATTTCACTTACTTTCTTATCTGCTCAATTACTTGCTTTTGAAGCTGTTTTAGCTATATTATTGTCAATTTCTCTTTATTTTTCAAATATTATTTACCACCCTGTTCAAACTATCTTTCACCTTTAGGAGACTTTCTTTTTAACTTAAAAAACTGTACAAAAACCTTCTTAAAAATGCTCAAGTTTTTTCAAAAACTTAGCATCTCCCTAAAACGCCCACATTTACAATAGCGTGGGGTCTTCAGGGAACAACCTTTCTACTCCTAGGGGTGAAGGTAAAGTCAGCATACACTTGTTTTTCTTCAAACCCAAACATTGAGTCCGACATTCTAGATAAGTTTAGTTTGGTTTGATCCCAAGTCTTTTAAGCTCCTTTTATTTCCCCTTTTATTGTATGCTTATCTGTAGATTTTGGAACTAATTGTAGTGTCTCGCTAAATGTTTGTATAGCACCCCCCTTTCCCTTTTTTGTTAGACGCACTATCCTTTCCGATGAATTTATAAAAAAGTCTAAAAATATTCTTCACTTTCCTAATATGAGATCGACTGTTTTTTTGTTACCTTTTGGTGTTATATCATCATATATATCTCACCTTCTGACTTTTTTGTGGGCCCATATTACTTTTAAAAGGCTGAAATTGTAAGTTACAGAGTAAAACAATGTCAATGTCCCATAGGAGTAAATGGTAATGCTGTGATTTTGTTGTGAGCTCCTTGACTTTGAGGTCTCTACGTGCAGCAGAAGAGAAAATCACGTAAAAGCAGTTCTCAATCAACACTTTCACTATTAAGAAAGAAACTGCGAGAAGGAAATTTCCAGTCTCTGATAGCGGGAGGAGGGGGAGGGTCTTCTTCCTTTATAGCTCCTTCAAGTAGTGCCGCTGCACCTGACCCATTGACATCATTTATTCTGCCAATGGCGGATGACTTTGGGAATGGTCAGTTACACTCTTCTGCTGCAGCCATCTCTGCTAGGAAGAGCACATCAGAGAAGGTTCTGGAACGGTATGGAGTGGTTTTTATGTTTTTAGCCACCTTGTGTCATTATGGAATTTTACTTTTTGATGCATGTATATGTCTTCTTCCATCACTTACAATGGAACCAAAGACTCATTATTTTATGACTTAGGAATATGATGGAATAAAACAAAATGGCTCACTAAACTGTCTGGACTTCTTTGTATGAAGCAGCGGTCAGTCAATGCAATTTTCGAAGCGATTTTCACTATGGGTCATTTGGAAATAGTCTCTTTGTGCTTTAGTACAGGGGTAAGACTACGTACATCTGCCCCCCTTACCCCACCATAGGTGTGAGCCTTTGTGGCACTGGGGTAATGATGGTGATGCATGTATATGTCCGTGAGCCATTTTTTAAGTACCTTTGGCCTTTATCCTAAATATACAGGTGAAGGGAAATTCTTAGAAGAGTTTCTTGTTTTATGTTTTCAGCTCGCATATTGTTATTCATTTTTTTAAAATTTCTAAAATTATGAACTTGTATAGTAAAACCGGTTTCTTTATGTGATGTATATTATATACTAGTATTATAGAAATGCATAATATTTAAAAAATGTTCTATAAATAATACTCCTCCGTCTCATTTTGGTTGTCCTACTTTCCTTTTTGGGTTCCAAGTTGTTTCCTTTTTTGGCAAGAAATACGTGATCATTATCATTTCACTTTTTTCTACTCAAATGTCAACCACAATTTTTATTTTTCAACCACTTTATTAATAATCCTGCCAAATTAAAACAGGACAACCAATATTGGACGGAGGTAGTATCAAAATCTGAGATTTTTAAAATAATGGAAACACGAAGATCGTGCTTTCAACAAGGACAGTCGGGTTTGGTCTGGTCTAGCTAAGCCGTAATGTGTATTGTGTTATGCAATGCAAGTCCAGTTTGTGGTGTGGTGTATTATGTATCATGGTCCAGTCTAGTTTTAGAGCTGATTTAGTAGACATGTACTGAAATAAGTCCAAGAAGTGAAAAGGTCTTGAATGGCACCATCTGAAATGATATTGCAAATTGCTTATTTTGTAGAAAACAACCACCTCTATCAGTCAAGGACAAAGAGGAGAGGACGAAGAGGAGCCAGTTTGTTCAAGGACTGCTGTTGTCCACCATTCTTCCTGATAACTTATTTGACAACTGAGCGGGTTCATTTCCCTGTGTATGAAAATCCAAACAACCTCGGAATAAGATGTATCGCTCTTCGCATATGATGTTTTCCTCTCTGTATTGTAGAGTAGTGGTTAGGGTGCCCACTTGTGTATGTGTATTTCTTTCTAATATAAGTTGAATGCTTTGACAATACAGAATAAGCTCTGTTATTGCCTTATCGCCGTTATCGGGTTCGGATTCAACGGTAGACCTGCACTGCCCATGGTGTAGATGAGATCTGAAGTAACTTTGTTCACATTTACCTAGGTAATGCATGAGCTTTTAGCGTATTTCATAATAAAAAAAATAAAATGCGTTTTCTTTGGAAGTTTGTCCCTCGTATGACAGCTCACTTGACAACATAGCATATTGTATTATTGTTAAATCAATGTAAACGGAAGTCGGTTTATAACGTCAATCTTGAAAACAATGAAAAGGCCATTATGCAAGCTAGATGAGAGGATGATGAGTTGCAGCTTAGATGACCAAACTACACTAGAAGTTTGAGTTCAATAAATCAAAAAGTTCAACTCAGTGGTCTTATTAACACTATCACAAGTTGGCAATCAGGCCATTTTAAATTGGTATTTGAAAATTGGAAATACAGAAGCTCAAACTTGATAATCTTTTGTCATGAATATAATTCAGGAGTACGTCCTTTCAAAAACAAATCAGAATTTGGTTAATATCACTCAATAAAGTCATAAAGACTTGGATATGTTTTCTTGGTCCATTCAAGGATCTAAATCGATCAGTCAGAAAACTACATCAATTTTCTCATCCAATTCTTTGATGCGTAACAAATTTGAGGACCAAAAAAACCAGGTTCAGGCTCCCCTTCTTCCTTTTACATCACCCAGACCTGAACTTGGAATGGTTCCCTGTGTGCATGTGTGAGAGCAGGGACATCCAGGATTTCGATTCAAGGGGGCGAAATTTTTCGTTAATGTAGGAGATAAAAAAAGCACTAGTATAGCGAGGCGAATTTTTTTTGCTAGTGCAGCGGGGCGAAATTTTTTACTAGTTTAAGGCTCTGCGGCTATTTTTATTCAAAAAATTTCATTAATACATACATGACAACATTTAAATCTATATATTACTCCGTACATACTAAGATTAGACAATGACAAAATAACTTTAATTTTATAATTGGAGTGCTCTAGAAAAAAGTATTGATACATTAAAGTATAAGAAATGACAAATCAATGGAAAATAATACAAAAATAAATAAAAGTATATAAAACATTTTATTTAAATATAAAGAGTTTTTAAGGTACACATTCACCGGTCTTTTAAAATAACTTCAACATTGTTTAACTACATGAGTCTTATAGAAATAAAGAATTGATTTTTGAATTACAATTTTTGTCTACCATGGAGGGTGTTCATAAGTCACAAACAGTTCTTTTAATTTACAATAATATGTATGATATTATTATTTTTAGAATAATATTATATTGCTAATTCATATATATAGTGCATATTATATTTGTAGTAATGCTAAAATAATTAAAGTTTATTATCTATGCAATAAAGTCTTTTTAGAACGTAAGAAGTAAATGAATAGTAGTGTAATTCAATGTCAATAAACATTTATAATTTGGATTCATCACTTCACATGATCTAAAAAATTTGTAGCTAGAGTGTCTGGTATTTAATATCGTTTGATATATATTTTTCAAAATTGTAACTAGTTATCGAATAAAGATAATTAAACATTACAAAACTAAGAATTTTTATATAATAAGTATCCTAAATCTCAAATAATGACTTGTTCTATTGTATATTTAAATTATGTAAATTATTTTAGATGTTCCTTTTTAAATCTCCAATTAAGTATTACATAATGTAAGATTATATATTAAATTTAAAAACTAAAGTTAAGGGGGCAATGTTCAACAAAAAGTTAAGGGGGCGAATCTAATTAAAGTATTAAAATTTTACAAAAACACTACATATATAGAAGAAAATTTTGAAAGTCTAAGGGGGGCAGTCGCACCCCCGCAACCTCCTTAAATCCATCCCTGTGCGAGAGGGATTACATATCATTTTTCTACTTTAACGTTTTTCTGTAATGATTTTCCATTATTTACAATGGAGCCAAAGATTCATTATTTTTTGACTTGTACTCCCTCCGTCACGAAAAGGTTCGCCGAATTGACTTTTCTTGGTCAATGAGATCCAACTTTGACCAATTATATTTTTTAATACGTAATTATTTTGAATATGAAAATTATATCAAAATGTTCTTTATTCAAAATATTTTCATAAAAGTATAAAATTTATCAACTTTATATAAATATAATAGTTAAAATTATTGTCCAAAGTTTGCCATCATTGACCAAGAAAAGTCAATATGGCAAACCTTTTCGAGACGGAGGTAGTAATTATGATGGAATAAAGCAAAATGGCTCACTAAACTGTCTGCATTTTTTTGTTATGGAACAACAGTCAGTCCATACAATTTTGGACGTGATTTTCACTATGGGTCATCCGAAAACAGTTACTCTTTGCTTTAGTACTAGGGATGGACTCGGGCCGGGTGGCCCGACCCGGAACCGGCCCGGGACCGGTACTGTTCCGGCCCGGCCCAGACCCGAGTCCATCCCTATTTAGTACAAGAGCAAGACTGCGTACATTCGACCCCCTTTACCCCACCGTAGATAAAGGGGGTAAATGAAAATGAATGTTCTTCTCTAATGATAACTTATTTAGATACATGCTCCCAAATCCCGAAATGGAATGATGGGAAGCCAGCATTCTGTTTCGAAGTGTGGGAGATTTTTAATTCCTTCTCCGTTGCAACAATTGAACAAACTACCACTACTTATGTCGTTTAACAAAGGTTCAACACAACAAAATGACATGGTTATCATCAAAAAATGTATCACTTACAATGGTTCAATCTGTATCCCCACCCACCCTTTTCGACATTAAGTTTCAATACTTTTAGGGATAAGGATCAGATAGGGTCTCGAACTTACAAAAAAATGTCAAATAAGGTCTTATATAAGATGCTCTGTCCGGCCGACGCCATTTGGGGCGGTTCCCGATGGAATTTTTTGATGATTTTTTTTTAGAATCTTATTCATTAAGTCTAGTTTAGTCATACCAAATTTGAACTAAAAATCATTCGAGGGCATTCAAATAAATTCTTGAAGATAACTGCACTTTTAACTGCACAATTATTTTCAAGAATTCATTTGAATGCTTTTCCGATTGAATTTTTAGTTTAAATTTGATATGAGTAAACTAGACTTAATGAATAATAAGATACTCAAAAAATTTCATCGAAAAATTTAACCAGGAATCACCCCAAATGGCGTCGGACGTACAGAGCATCCTATATATGACCTTATTTGACATTTTTTTTTGTAAGTTCGAGGCCGACCCTTATACCATACTTTTATTATCTGAAGCATTACCAGTTAAAAGGCAATGCGTCTCAAAATCCAACTTCCAAGAATCCCCACTATAAGTACACTTAACCACCAGTAGTAACATCTCCATTCTGTTCCCATCTCATCCTGTTATTACTAATAAATCGGCTTATCCGATGGTGTATTCTTCTCCTGGCTGAAACTGTTGAAGCCACAGATCCTGAAGCTGAAGAAGAACCAGGCTGACTATCTCTAGGAGATGAAGTGTTGAATGTTTGTTGTGTTAATGGAGTCTCAGGTACATACATCTCGTCCAGCTCACAACTCTCCCTTCTGCTGGTGGCTATAGAAGGCAGTCTGCCATAATAGTCATCACCTGTTGGAAGTGAATTTTCTGGAATTTGGAAGCGAGGAGATGCTAGTCTACAGGCTTCACAGTACCAATCACCTTCAGGGACTTCACTTCCAAGGCCGACGCAATAAGTATGTGCAGGTGAATCACATATATCGCAGAGTAGCATATGAGCATCATCCCCACCTTGTTGACATTCAGTGCAAATTACGTTTTCATATGGATCAAGATAACCCCTAAGCTCTTCTTCAGATGGCACATAAACCTATATACATATATAAATAGCACAGTGAGTGGATATTAATACGGAAATAAATAACTTGTCAAGAAAGAATATAATTAAAAATAAATTTGAACTGACTTGATCACGTTCCGGAACATGAATCACCACAGTCCTTAGTGATGGTGACTTTGCATCCTTAGTGATGGTTACAAATCTTTGCTTGCAAAGGGGGCAACGAGACTCAACCTTTGACCACTCCATGATGCAAGCAAAACAGAAGTAGTGGCTGCAGCAATTTAACATGCCATTGATTGTCTTTTTCTCTTCTTCAGAAAAACAAATCCCACAAACCTGCTTTCCTCTTTCACTCTTCTTCAACTCCTCAACCACTGCTACCTTCTCCTTTCCCTTTCTTAGTGATCGCTTCTTCTGATGCTGACTGGCTTTTCCTTTTGGTGCATCAGTTGAACAACCTAGAATCCTTGATCTATCCCTCAAACGTGCATCAGTTGAACAACCTGGAATCCTTGATCTATCCCTCAAACGTGCATCAGTTGAACAACCTGGAATCCTTGATCTATCCCTCAAACCTCTACACAATTTATTAGCTTCTCTAATTTGTTCACTCTCTTCTTCAGAGATAATATACTCATGGTCTGATGATGCACAACTCACAAAGTCTGAATCAGAATCTATAATTAATCTTCTTTCCCTTTTCTCCTGTGAATAATTTTTCCTGCATGTTTTTCTTGCTCCCTTCCTTTTGATCTGCTTAGAAACTTTAGAGGTTTTCTTCCTTGTTTTCTTTGAGACTTTCGAGATACTCTTTCCCTGCACCCTTTTTCTATTGCTATTTGTCAATCGCCGCTTTACCATTTTCTTATTCCCCCTCATCATCGGCAAGTTTTCTTCTTCTTCTTCTTCTTCTTCTTCTTCTGTAGAATCAATCTCATCTGGAGTAAAGTCCACGTCATCATCGTCATCTCTGTAAATAAACTTATCCCTTGTTTTTCGTTTTACAACACCATTGATCTCATTCGGGATAAATTCCTCTTCCTCCTCTGCCTCATCTTCCTCCTCATAATCACCATCATCATCGCTGTCATCACTGATCTCATCATCTTCTTTGTACATAACTCTTTTCCTTTTTCTTTGTTTTATAATGCTTTTCTGTCTATTCTGTGCTTTCGGTGGGGAATCATTCTTTTTAACAATTTTTTTCTGCTTGACATTCATAATCTCATCTTCTTCACTATCTTCACACACACCCAAACTGACTCCAGATGTATCCCCAACTAATGAAAATGATTCATCTTCTGAACAATCAAACAGCTCATTTTCACTGACACAGTAATCCTCATCTGATTGTTCATCATCATATTTATGATCAGATCTGGCCCTCCTTCTATAGGTGTATTGCCTTGCCTTGCCCTTCTTTGCCATCTTCGCTCACAGTAAAACAAAATCTAAACAGCAATACTTGACTGAGAACTGAGAAAAGTCATAGCTTTATGATCCGATCATCCAATCAAATGTGTTGTAACAATTCTTCTGCACACATATACAAAAACAGATGAATATCCAAATCCAAAAAAACTACTACACGTATACTCTAAGGTCCTGTCATAAGAGGCATAATAAAATGCTAGAGTTTTCTGCATCTGCTAAAATCGTGATTCATGAAGGCACTAAAACTATGAGATTTTCACTAATATGTGTGTGCTCCTCCACATGGAAATATTCGGATTTAGGGATATCAATATATATTCCTAAAGAGTACACTTTTAAGAATTATATGGTAGAAATCCCAGCCGATCAAAGTTGCAAATGAAATCTAAAGATGAAAACGTTTTAAGGACAGGCCTCAGTTTCACATTACTGGAAAGGATTTCAATCTGCGAGTACGGCAAATAAACAGATGAGAAAAACTACAATAGAAAAGCTTATACCATGCACTTAATTCAAATCAACTCGAATACACTACCATTATTACAAAAAAACTCAACCAAAACCCTAGAAAAGAGCACAGTAAAAAACAGCAAAGGTATAACTTCGTTGAGTTCTCTCAACTACCCTTGCAAGTCAAATGTCAATTCTAACTGCAGCTCACCGGAGACAATAATCACAACAATAAGAACAGTCAGTACCTTCTGTAAATTTCTTCATTTCAAATCCCAAATTCATATCTTGCGATTCACGAATCGAACAATAGTCCCGGAAAAAGAGTCGCAAACCATTTCCTTGAGCAAAACTCGGAAGGAGATTAAGAAAACGCGCACACGTCCTCTAAACGAATCCGTCACTGTGTACTTGTTGACTAGTGTCTTTTGGATTCTATCAATAGTCGAAATGGGCCACACATCGAGGGCCCGATACAACTTCCATGGTCCAACACTAAAATGAAGGACAAATAGCTAGTCCTAAATAGGTAAAATACCTGTAAATGCAATAATAGAACTATATTCATTTTATTCTCAACATAAGAGTAATATATGTTCCATCTTTATGCTCTATCCTTTTCCATCTTTAGTTTTATTTTATTGAGTTTGTGTGCAGTTTCCATCCTTACCCACATACGAGTATTGAATTGTATGGAATTGAATCTAATGGTGTTTCCTGAACAGGGCCGGTTCTGGGGAGGGGGCAAGAGGGGCGACTGCCCTAGGTCAAAAAAAAAATAGAAGAAAAAATAGGTTCAATTTTTTTCTTTATATAGTGTGAGTATGCTTCTTTTTTATCCTTAAGTTCAATTAATTAGGCCTGATGATTAATTCTGTTGACAATTTGAAAATTTAAAACATAAATAAAGAGTCAAAACAGAGCCAAGTTTAAAAAAGAATATATACATTAATTTTTAGCAAGATAGGCTGTGGTTTTTAAAAGCAATACAATTGTTGCTGCATAAATAAAAGACACATCTCTCCGATCCTCACATGTTTTTGGCTTTTAAAGTTTTTATTCAATTTAATTATAACATAACAAATTTATACAATTATTTTAGATACCGTTTCTCTCAAATCTAACCCCAATTATTCATTTGTTTCCAAATTTCAATAAGCTATATCTAAGTTTCTAATAGTTCTTTTAGAGGGCGTCAAATTTGCAATCTTCTTGCACGAGTCCTCTTGGCAGCCAAACATTTTCTCTCTTTGAAAACCTTCATTCTTTCGAAACTTCAAACTTTAGATTCTCATCAGCGGTCAATAAATAATTTTCAACTTATGAATTCAATATATGGTAATATTTCTTTTCAAATCCTTTTAAAAGAAAATTTAGTGTTGTTATATGCGACAATTTTATTGTTTGTCATATTTATTAGTGGAAAGAAGGTTGTCTATGAAGCAATTATTGATGATTTGCTTCACATTGTTCTATGAGAAACGTTTTTAAGTAATGTTTTTTCTTTTTATTCGATACTCATGTTGTTACATTTGTCCAAATATGTAACTTAAATAATAATAAAGTGATTCTCGTCTTTATTTTATGAACTTCATTACCGAAATATGGTTTACTGTTTGTCATGCGTTGGGCTTTATAAATTAAGAATAAAATTGTGTAATTTTGAACTTGTTTTTGGACTTGAATTTGGACATTTGGGGATGAGCTTTGCGTCTGGGATATTACTTTGAATTGATTTTAGTGGTAAGTTTTATGATTTTGTCTTCAATTTAGGCTATGTTCGGCACAATGAGCTTTAGTTGGAGGCTGTTATCTGAATTATGGACTATTGTCTGAATCGGAGACTATTGTCTTGAGCTAAATATTGAAATGTTGAATCTGAACTTCTAACTGGATGAGGTAGATTTGTTTGGCAAAAATAGCTGAAAAATGGCCGGATAATTTGAAATTACATTAAAGGACATACTAATTTATTAATAGAACAAATATTTATTATACGATTTTCATATTTAATAAATATTAAAATTTTAGTATATACTTCGTATTTATATATGTACATGTATATAGTTATATATATATATATATATATATATATATATATATATATATATATATACACGTGTATATATATATATATAATATATTTGTATATTAAAATTAATAATTATAATGATTTTCATATTTATATATTTAGTAAAATTTTAGTGTATACACACACACATATATATATATCATTGCCAGCTTCTCAAGCTTGGTTGACTGCCTCAGACCCTCAACTGTGTGGTTGACTGTCGCTTAGAAGAGATATGCTTTTTTCTTGAGTTGTAATTTTCCCTCAGCAATTTTCCCTTTCAATTTATTAAGAATCTCACTCAATTGAGTTGTAATATTATAAAAATCAAATTCCAACTACAAGGAAGCAAGGCAGCTAAATAATACTCCGTATGTAAATGAAGTGATGAAGTTGCCACTATGACAGTCAAGAGATTGCTGACAGAGAAAGCAATCATCCAAACAAGAAATTATGGTGGTGAAGGCCGGGGTGAGAGATACACTCATGCAGCGAAAAAGAGAAGAAGGGTTAACTTAGGAACAGAAGTCTATTATAAATACGGCTGAAGTTAGACTTATATCATTTTAAAGCTTATATATATAATATGTCTCACATATTCATGTTTAAATGTTTCCATGCATAAATAAAGAACTCCAAGTGAGTACGTGACCACATTCGGATTATTTTTAGTAAATAAAATTTACATATTCAGAAACTATATTAAAACCGCTACAAAATATGATCAAAAAAATTTAAATTTGATAAAAGTTTGATATATAAACTAAAATATTAGGAGTGATTTAAGTTGATCAATGAATAGTTGATAAATGTAGTATTTGAAGCAGGTACTAAAAATAATTTAAGCTAGCGTTGATATTGCTTTTGAATGTTTTTTGCGTGTTGTATTAAAATTTATATGGGTGCGCCTCACCTGTATTATCAACTTTTTAAAAAATATTACTCCATATTCTTTAATAATAACCTTTATAATTTAAGTTTTTTTTTTTGCAAGAATTTATAATTTAAGTTGTGTCGTAACTTGTTGTTTAGATTTATACATCGAGCTACTCACACGTAGACATATGATATATAAATTTAAAGAAATTTTATCGATCTATAACTTAAATAACAGAAGTATGGAACTATCAAACTTGAAAAATGAAACGTATTTGTATAAGATCCGAATGATTTAATCTAAAACACGAATTATCATGAATTTTACTATTATTTTTTACTTTAAATTTCTATATTTTCTGTATATTTAGTTTATTAAACGAATAAACTTTTGTGAAGAAAAATTCATGAAAACTAACAATAGAATTAATAAAAAATTCAAAAAGTCAAAATCTATGAAATTATACGTCTTTGATTGATAATTTTTTATAATTAGTGTCGTACATCGACACATTTCATCTTTGAGGTACTGCATTGATAATCCATATATTGATATACTCCATCCGTCTCAATTCGATTTGCAAAATTTCCTATTATGGTTGTCCCAAAATGGTTTTCCACTTTCTATTTTACGTATGTAAATAAGAATAAAGTGACAAATTTACCCTTACTTTTACTTTTTTCCCACTAACTTAAAGACATCTGCTTTTAAAAAAATGGTCAAAAGTGTAAAAAGAAAGCATCATTTATTGTCATTCCTTAATCCTTGTGCCGGTCAAAGTTTGCAATTCAATTCGGGACGGAGGGAGTATATCTTTTCAAACTTAAATAATACTCACTCCGTCCCCCGATCAAGTTACCACTTTTCTTTTTGGGCAGTCCCTAAATTAAGTTCACACTTCCTTACTTTCCTTATTTGGCAAATTATCTACATCAAAGCAGTGTCAAACAATGCAAAACAGTGCCAAACAGTATCAAATAATGTTTGAACAAAGCAAAACAATGCACTCTACAGTAAATTCAAATTTATTTTCTTAATACGTGTGAAGTCAAACCGAAAACTTAATTGGGGGAGTACATACCAGTACTACATATAGTATACTATCGTATGACATTAGCTAATTATCAAAGTTCATCATTAAATACAAAGAGGTTGTTCAACTCTGTAATGTAATTACAAGCATTAAATTACTTATATTTAGGTTTAGTTATTGAATTAATGAACTTGAAACCGTACATTCAATATTCACATTTGAATAATTTGGTGATGGGACCACTTCAAATCATATTTTGTTTTTGAATGATTTGTTGACGGGGACCACTCGAAATCAGGTATACGTATATTAAGTTTTTGACATTTTGACATTTAAATGATTTGAGAAAGTAATTATAGCTCGTTTGTTAACACTGAAATTGACTAAATTGGTTAATTCTGCTGAAATTTATGAAGTTCTGGCTGAAGACTTTAAGTGGCTGTATTGGCTAATTTTGTTAGTTTGTGAAAAAATTATATTTAAAATATTTGTTATTAATAAATAAAATAAAAAATTATATTGAAATACAACTAAAATGATCCTCTACATTAACTTCAACCAATATAGCCAGAAAAGTAACTATAACCTTACTTTTTCTTATTATTACACAATTCAGCGCGCGAAATCAAAAGTTACGTGTTTGATGAAAAAACTAGCTGATAAATTTGATAAGCCGAAAAAGGGGTTACCAAACAGGCTCTTAGTCTTCCTCCATAAAATTGTGTGGTATTTCCTTTTCATTCCTTTCACTAGGACTATCATATACTATCTCTTCGTCGCTTAAAACTTTGTCAAGTTTGAGCGGCACAAAAATTAATAAAATAAAAATTGTATAATTAAACTAAGGACGTTGTATACAATTTATGTAATAATTATGTGTACATCAAGAATGTTTCTATTAATATAAACTATCACAAGGGATCCATATTGTAAAAATGTTACCCAAATAGGATATATTATCCTCCGTTCCATAAAAGTTGCAACAGTTTGACTTTACGTTTGTCAACACTCAACTTTGACTGTAATTATATTAATTTATGTATTAGTAAACATTAAAAAAAGTTAATATATTGGAAATTTACATTAATACAAATTTATTAATATTTTATACATAATATTTTTATTATACATATTATTAAAAAATCATAGTCAAAGTAAGGTGTATGAATAATGCAGAAATTCCAATGTTGCAGAAATTCCAGCGGAGAGGAAGTATAGAATAAAGTATAGAATAAAATATAGATACGATTTTTTTCATGTACCATAAAGTAATGAATGCATAAAGGTCTAATTTCTGGCGTCATAAGCAACCAAAAAATAAAATAAAAAAGATAGTGCATTACTAGTATTATTTTCATTGATAAAAAAGCAATAGAGAAGGTCCACAAGAGTAGGGGGCATATCCACATACCCACGTTTCCCTCGTTCAATTATATTCGGCTATTCCTCACAAAACTACCCAATCATCCATCTCTCACAAACCAAAATCGGTTTTCTTTTTCTTCTCTTCTTTTTTTCGTCTTGAACATGAAAATGCTAGGAATCCAAGAAACGGAAACTTCTCCCCGTGAAAAGGAAATGATTATCAACGGGAAAGATCGCACCTTTATGCTTCTCCACTCCCCACAGATCATTGGATTCAGACTGAGGACGCCGAGGTTGCTTGTTAAGGTTGTCAATGGAAGAAAGCGGCGGCGGCGGCGCAGCCGCCATGGTTCCAATGATGCAGCGGAGAGGAAGAAGTCATTGTCGGAACCTGGTGGGAATCTTCTTCTGCCTGTGAAAACTGGGTCGGTTTTCTGCAGCACGTTTTTCAGCAGAAACCAGGCGGCAGATGATGAAAAACTGGGAAAGTCAAAGTCAATCAAGAACATCTTGGGGTTCAAGGGAAAAAACATTCAATGCAGAGAGAGTTTAGAAAAGTCAACAAAGTCAACCCATTACTTGTTCCTCTCAAGAACAGGGAAGAATGGTGGTGGGTCATCAGCAAAAGAACCCATCTTCTGCTTCAGATTCTCTGGGCTGCTCAGATGGAAGAAGAGGCTAAGATTTAGCTTCAGGAAGTGGAGGATTACTGGAGGAATTGGAACAAGTTGTATGGGTATGGCATCCCAAAGAAGAAACAGAGGCTATTACACACAGATTCAGAGCATCAGAAATCCAGAGGAGGCAGATGATGAAGAAGAAAAGGAAGAAGGGATTGAGCTTTGCAAGAAGAGAATCCTTATGGGAGACAGGTGTAAGCCTCTCAGCATCTCTGGAAGGCTTAACTATGATAAAAATGGCGTTTTGTTGCCAGAATTGCTTCCGTATGATTGACGAATCAGAGTAGTTTTCTTTCCCAGAATTACACATACCTTAAATTCTTCAGATGATCTCCCATCATCAAAGCTGCAGATATAGTAGTATGTGTTGGTTTTGTTAATGTCATATTGTCATGGTTGATATTTTTTCATGAAACGGCCAAACAAACTTCCAATGACTTTCAATCCGGAACAGGGACGGAATCGGGCACTGGGCCGAACCGGATCAATATAAAGAATATTTTGAAGAAAAAAAATTACACAAAAAATTTTACACATAAAAACATAGACATTTTTAAAATTTGGACTGGGCCAAGCCTGTCCCTCCCCTAGCTACACCCCTGATTCCGGAGTGATCCAAACTAGTGATAAAAGATTGGAGAGTTTTTTGTTACTGCCTTCAAACCCAATTGAACAACCCCAACTTATTTTGGTTGAACCATTCTAGTTACCCCGCGATTTTGACTACGGGTCATCCGGAAACGATCTTCATGTGTTTTAGTACACGGGTAAGACTGCACACATCCGATCTCCCTTACTCTATCGAAGGTGGAAGTCTTTGCGTCACTTGGGTAATGATGATTGATGGTGATGCTATGGTGATTCTAGTTACCCCACATTGTTTTCCTATATATGGTTAAATTCGTCTTGGTTCATATGGGTCTCAAATAGTTTGACTATATTTATTTTGTCCTAGGGGAGGATCTACGCATACTTATGGGCTAAATGAAACTCTCGTGTCAATTTGTAGGGTGGACTATATTTGAGCTATATACTACTTTAAAGAAGTTCTCACTTTCCTTTTATGGATATCCTAAAAAGAAATTCTCATTTCTATAAAAGGAAATCACTTTTATCCAAAAAGTCACAATTACCCTTACTTTTTATCCATTTTTTGCTTGATTTGACATAACGTAAGGGTAAACTTAGAAAGTCAAAACAAAACTCTACCTTACATAAATATATGTGTAGGTCAAACCAAGAACTTCATTTTGAGACGGAGGTATTGTTCTTTTCGGAGAATTTTTGTACTTTATAATTAAGTGGTTAAGATGGCAAATAAGTTTGGTTGGTCAATTGGTAGTACTTTTATAGAGCACAACAAGATGATTTTTCTATCCAGATACAAACTCAACATTCAATGCATTTCTTGTATTCAAGACATAAAATAATGGGATAACTATCAAATAAGCCCTCGAACTTTCATAAAAAGTGTAAATAAGCCCTTTTATAGGAGACTCTGTCCGGCCGTCGCCATTTTGAGTGGTTTCCGGTGGAATTTTTTGATGAATTTTTTTGAATATCTTCTTCATTAAGTCTAGTTTATTCATACCAAATTTCAGCTAAAAATTCAATCGGGAAGACAGTCAAATGAATTTTTGAAGATAACTGCGCAGTTAGACAGCGCAATATATTTTAGAAAATCATTTGACTGCCTTTTAGATCGAATTTTTAGCTGAAATTTGGTATGGTTAAACTAGACTTAATGAAGAAGATGCTCAAAAAATTTGATCAAAAAAGTCCACCGGAAACTGCCCCAAATGGCAACATCCGGACAAAGCTTCTTGTAAAAGAGTTTATTTGATAGTTCTACCTAAAATCATTGAATACGTTGAAATGTGAACAAAAGCAAATTTGAGTGATTTGTACAAAATATGCATTAAATTCTTAAAACATAGATTATTTTGATTGAACGTACAAGAATTGCTAATATGACTAATAATTTGAGAGAGGGAGCATAAGTACACTTTCTGACTCATATGTCCATTGAGAAAGACATTATGAACATAATCATGGAGCACACGAAAGTGAAAATAGCAAGTGTTGTCAATTAGTTGTTGGGTTGACTATGAGAATGAAGGTCTAAAAAAGATTTAAGAAATAAAAACGTTTTTTATGATATGAAACAAACGCATTAGCAAGTCTTAAGTATTGTCATGTTCTCTTCAAATTTGTTTGAGTACTAGGGGCATACATACATACACACATCCAACTTTTTCCATCATTTTCACCAGATCCAGACTCACTATCAATTGACTTATGAATATGATGGAATAAAATAAAATGATTCACTAAACTGTGTACGTTTCTTTGTTATGAAGTAATAGTTAATCCGTACAATTTTCGACGCGATTTTTATCATGAGTCATTCGAAAACCGTCTCCCGGTACTTTAGTACAAAAGTAAGGTTGCGTACATCAAACCATCTTATGTCATCATATATGAGAGCCTTTGTGGCACGGAGGGAATGTTGTTGGTGTATACAAATATCAAACTTCACCTAGTTTCGGGGTAATGTTGTAGGTGCATACATATATATATATCCAGTTTTGTTTATGTGGTATACACTTTAAATTGGAAAGAATCTTTTCTCATGCAAAGACTTTCCAAATACAAAAGTTAGTGGTGGCTCGAAGACGTGTAGTCATAGATCAGTCCTGTTTCTACAAGCCGCCATACTCACTTAGCTTGTGTGTATACCAAAGGCTTTTGGTCATTCAACTCCAAAGCAATGAAAGTGTAGATAATATATTTAATCATGCGTTTAGAGCACATATTACTTCTATCAAACGCACCTTAATTGAAAAACAAAAGCTGTGACACTGATGGGCCAACTTTACATTTTCTATTCCACAAAATTTTAATAGAATTAAATATTTGATGCCATTTGCACTTCTCTAATTCATATATTTTACTTGCACCGTTTTCAATTCCAGATCAGACCAGATCAGACTAAACCAAACTTGGATACTTATAAAAATACAAAGAGATCAAACATTACCAGATCAGACCAGACTAGCAAATTACAGTTCAAGTAAAAACATCCTTACTGTAATTTGCTGGTCTGGTCAGTTCTGATCTATTTAACTCTGATTTGGTCTGGTAAACGTCTGGTCTTTGTGTATTTTATAACTACGGAAGTCAAGTCTGGCCTGGTATGTTTAAGTCTGATCTGGTCTGTTTAAGTCTGGTATGGTCTGGTTTGGTACTGAAAACAATCCAAGTAAAAGCATCTTGAGGATGTTTTACTTCGACTTAAATTTGATGAAAAATAAAAAATAAGGAATTATCTTTAATTAATTATTTCTGAAATATTATTGTAGGGAAAATCACACTTTTAACCCCTTCAAATAGTACCGATATTGAAATGCAATCACCGTGTTTCCAAGTTTGTAAATGATACTCTCAATTGTTCAAATTGATGTAAATGTGATTGTTTGAGGTGAAACATACAATGTCAATGAGGATTATAAGTACACCACTTCGACAACCGAGGAATTACATTTATATAGTTGAAACACAAGATTACATTTCAATATCAAAACTATTTGAGGAATTAAAAATATGATTTTCTCTATGTATTTATAAGTTTTAGTTTATTAAGTATTTCCCTTTCAAAATACCAGCAAGTATTTTCCCTTTTTGAAAAAGGAAATACTCAATTAATATTTAATCATTCACGCTTGTTGAGAAATGAAGCAGCATACCATTATCAGTTTATCACATAAGGTTTAGTTTGAAATGACATTGTATAAAATATGTAAACTGTATGGAATTTAACAATCGGGGTGGTGGCGCAGTTGGCTAGCGCGTAGGTCTCATAGCTTCGGAGTTATCCTGAGGTCGAGAGTTCGAGCCTCTCTCACCCCAACTTTTTTTATTCAGCATTTCACAACAAATTATTTATGAAATTAAAAAAGTTCCGTTGCCGGGAATCGAACCCGGGTCTCCTGGGTGAAAGCCAGATATCCTAACCGCTGGACGACAACGGATTGTTGAAAACAGATGCAGAATCATTATATACAAATCGTAATTTATGCTTCGCATTAATTTTTGGATGTTTGTACTTGGACCGTAATTCCTCCCAAATCAGACCAGACAAAACCAGACCAGCAAATTATAATCCAAGTAAAACCATCCTTAGACATCTAGGGAACAGCTTGGAGGAAATTTCAAATTCACAATTTCACATTATAGTGATGAATTAGGCAATGGCATATGATTCCAATTTGAATAAAGGATGTACTGTATCTGAATGCTATGACTTGAGAAAAGAACTCAACATATATCACTGAAAGACATATTTCCCTAATATATGATTACACATGTCTTTTTAAATGATGCACTTTATTAGTTACTATGGTTAATGAATTATGCCTTCTAAACCATCCGTATTCTCATGTCTTCAATGATAATCATACTCTTGCGACTCTAACAAAACATATTTAGTCATATACTCTCTTCGTCCCTAAATAAAAGCATATGTATCCTTTTCGGTCTGTCCCTAAATAAATGTCTTTTTTTTCTTTTCTGAAAAAAAAAACAGTGCAAAACAATGTTAAACAGTGCAAAGAGTATCCAAACAGTACCAATGAACCTCATTTTCTTAAAATGTGTGAAAAATGAATAGATACTTTTATATAGGGACGGGGGAGTATGTGAAAGGGACATATATTTGAAAACTATAATAATTACTCCCTTCATCACGAAAAGGTTGACCAAATTTCCTTTTTTGGATGTCCCAAAAAGATTTATCATTTCCATTTAAAGTAAGGAATATGTGACTAAAATTAATTCTCTCTCCTCTGCACAAATTTCAACCACACAGTCTTTACTTTATTACTTCACGTGAAAGTCAACTTTGGCCAACCTTTTCGGGACGAAAGGAGTATAAAATACACAGAGACCAGACATTTAACTGTCAGATCAGATCAGAAGATTTCAATCCATTTAGAATACAATTTTTTCATAATGAATCAAATTCAACTAATTCAGCTAGAACATCATCAATTTCAGTGTTACCAAACAGATTCTAAATAACTGCGCGGGATCAAAATATGTCCATTTTCCTGTTCTGGTCGAAGACTGCTCCCGATTTTTTGTTTTGGGAACCAAATTGATTGGTCCCTATTTAGTCGATATTTAGTCCAGCGGTCCAACCTGGTCCGAACCCAGGTTCGACACTGCGCGGGACCAAACTAGGTCCATTTTCCTGTTCTGGTCGAAGACTGCTCCCGATTTTTGGTTTTGGGAACCAAATTGATTGGTCCATATTTTAAATTAATATTTAATTTTATCAGCCTTGATAAAATCTCCATTTCGTGTAAAAGAAAATAGCAGAACCAAGTCCAAACCGGACAGCTAGGATACTAGGTCACGATTTGGAACTGGGAGTCTGGGATCAGATCAACCCGGATCCATCCCTTACCGGGAGCAAAACCTCCATTTCCATTTATGAGAATTGAACACTAGATTTCCTACAAAGAGGGGACTTGGAGAGAGGCGGTTAACCAAGTGAGCCAGTAGTGAGCCACACCACCTAGCTTAGGTTTCCTTGTATTTAATGAAAATTGTTGTTGACACATTTTGACATTTTGGTTTTTGTTCAAAAAGAAAAGTTAAGTCCAAATTTTTTCATTTATTAGCGTGCATTATTAATTTTAATCAATTGATCATGTCAAACTTTTCATCATTTGCAATGGAGCCAAAGATTCATTATTTTTTGGCTTGAGATTATGATGGAATAAAGCAAAATGGCTCACTAAACTGTTTGCGCTTCTTTGTCATGAAGCAGCAGTCAGTCCATGCAATTTTGGACGGGATTTTCACTATGGGTCATCCGGAAACAGTCTCTCTGTGCTTTAGTACAGGGGTAAGACTGCGTACATCCGACCCCCCCTTACCTCACCGTATGTGGGAGCCTTTGCGGCACTGGGGTAAATGAAAATGAATGAATTGATCATGTCAAAGTTTTAACTTTAACGAATGTAACATCTTTTTTATGTAGAATTAATAGTAATTGT